CTGGGTCAATAGTCCCCACCAAGATACACGTCTATTTTCCATTTTCCATAATTTTCCTTTCCAGTTCCTCCATAGCAGCCCATTACAGTGAACAACCTCTCTTCTTGCACTTTGGACGCGTTTGGCCAACTGCAAAACGCGCTCGCAGATTCCCTCTGATTGGCGGGTTTGGGCGAACCTGGCTCAGGTATTTATGCCTTGTGTATAGCCGAGGGAGTCCTAATTGTGGCGGATGCTTTAGTGCCATTACGTTGGTTGAATTTGGATGCAGATCCAAGCAGGCTTGGATGTCAGGCTTTTTATTTTTTTCGGTGCTAATGATGGCTTTCGTCTACACTGGCTGCCGTATTTACGCCGTCCTCAATCCTACACCTTACAACAAAGCCTTGAATGGCAATCGATAAAAATAATTCAAAATGGGCGGATAGCATACAATTTTCATTTTAGAAATGCTTACGTCCGTGACAAAGGGAAAAGCATGTCTGGTGGAAATATAAAGCCAGGACCAGCTGCAGGTGATTCGGAAACTCGAAACGCTCCCGTAATCGAGACATTTGTCAATCGGGAGAGTGAATTGGGTACATTGTCTGAGCCACGGCCTGCAACTCTCCAAGTGAATGCTCTCATCACTCCTGTTCAGCATCGTCAGTCAATGCCTTACGAGGGAGTCAGCGCCAGACTGGCTGATCACCCACAGTCAACTCGAATCTTTAGTGGCGTGCATGTAACACCGGCCCATCTAACCGGTCAAGCCTCCATAAATGTTCGCGAAACTCCATCCACTCAATTTGGTCAGAATCAACAAAACAATAACATGCTCTTTCAGAAATCAACTCTTCATGTACAACTCACAGGTGTGAAACAGAATCGAAGGATAGGTCCTAAAACAAACATTTTGCAACATTACTCTATCATTAATGGCAAGGATATTTGCTTGCTTAATCAAATTTCACCTCTACACGATTTCCCAAATTCAGCAGGAACATGTAGAACCATGCTCCGTAAAACAGTGGTCTATCGTAAGGCGCATGCGTTCTGCTTATCAACATCTATCGTGGCCCTTGTTCCTATCCTTTTAGAGTCCTGTTTCTTGCTTGCAAGTCTATACATAAAAAACAACTGTGCTATTATTGCATCGTTTGTATCTCGTACAGCCGTGCTGTCTATCATTATCGTTCTGCTTGAATTAACAAAATCATCTCTTCAGAAGGTAAAGCTATCTAAGTCGACAGCTTCATACTCTTCAAATACCGCCAGTATTGACTTTCCTACGTCGAGGAATGGCTTTGAAATGTGCACTAAGAAAGGTCTTGCTCTGCCGGTTCTAATTTTATCCTCCTCAGTGGACTGTGCTGTGGACAGAAGACGTTGCGATGAAAAAACACTATTAACAATGGTGCAGATCTTGCTTTATTTAACTCTTCTCGTTATTCTTTTCGGTGCAGCCGTCTGGCTTTCATTAAAACGTTTTGATTTACTTAAGCATGAGACTTTTGGAAATGCATCTAGCGGGAGTTCACCCATCATCGAGCCGAAAAAAGAGTGCTCCACATCGGACATTAATGTTGGTCTGTTCATCCTCGTTACTCATGCACTATTAATGACGCTACGACTTGTCATATACTGCACTAGCAGTTGGACCAAAGGCATGTGCCTCCTCACAGCACACCGCAGGTCCACGGCCGTGCATGGACCTCTTTTTCCCCTAATGGAAGTGCCGTTACCTTCCCTAGACCATTTACCCGTATTCCACCAACATGCTGAGTCAGGTGCATCACAAACCTTTAACCGTTGAACTATCAC